TAGCCCAGGTGAATGTCTAACTCTGAAAATGATGTATTTGAACTCTTCTGATCTTCCTGCCTTCACTTCCCAAGTGGTTTGATTACAGGCCTAAAATACCACACCTAGCTTACATGATACTGGCTGTCAAATCCAAGGCCTCGTGCATGCTAGTCAGAGTTGCATCCCCAGCGCACAACCCATTTTCAGTTAATCTCTGTGGTCAACTGAACTGACCTGTCCTGTGCCCAGCGTGTCTGAGTTGAGCATCTCTTCAATTTACCCATTAGGGTTGGGAAAGATGTTATTCCCAGTTGGAGTGAGGCATAGGAAGAGACCTAAGATCAAACTGCTCCTTGACTCCAGGGCATACACCTACACCCAGGAGCACCTGGAAGCAGGGAATGGAATCCATAGGACTTTAAAAACAAAACTTTAAAGAAAAATAAACAAACAAAAATATTTTAAAAATAAAAGGATAGCTCTTCCTTACCCAGTAGTAATCAGCTGCCAATAATTATTTGATAAGATTGGGGTCTGATGCCCATTTCCACAGTTCTGTGCTGGGGTTTTGGGTTTTGTCTGCTTGAGTTGGCAAAAATCTTGTGCGTGCCGACACCATTGCTGTAAATTCATATGAACAAGGTCCCAGGAACTTGTAGGGCTCTATTTCCATATGTTCATGCACATCTTTCCTGGCTCTTACAAAGGTTCTTGAGCCCTGGGTGGGTGGCGTTTAATATAGGCATCCTGTCCAAGGACCCATACTCTGCAGACTCTTAATCTCCACACTTTGGTCGTTTGTGACCTTTTGTGTTCCTGGCCCTCTGTTGCGTGAGGGAGCTTCATTAATGAGAGTTCAGAGATGCATTAGCTCTAGATAGGCTGACTAGATAAACTTGCACTGAGGGACATCTGAGGATACTAACTCAACATTTAAGCCTTAACACAAGTGACAGAATGTATGAATTCCAGTCGGGGGGCTATGGGAGGGTGCCAATGGGGAAGGGATACAAAGATGATGAGATTGCTCTGTATGAAATACATAAAAAGTCAATAAAAATTTACAAAAAATAAAAAAATAAAGGACAGACAATATGGAGAATATGAAATCTGGGGGGTGGGGGTAGGAGGCAGAGGGTACAAAGAGGGAGTATATTTGTGCACATACACAATTGGGTGGGGCAATCAGAAAAGCTAATTCAATAATCAGTTTTAGTAACAGAAATAAAGTATTTGAAACAAGCAGGCTGAAAGTACTGATCTGGTTCACATATATTAGACGACATCTCCTTTAATGGCCTCAGCACTGCATAATACTTCACAGAAGACAGCCTCTCCAGATAAAGCTAAATCACCAAAGAAGCTAGAGCATCACGACTTGAAGGCAGAATATACAAGGGAGATGTGAAGACCATGAGAGTGCCTGTCTGTAAGAAGTGTAGAGAGATGGGGAGAGGAAACGGTTAGGCAGTGGTTCTGGGAAAGACAACCTTCTAACTTCAAATTCTTGAGTCCAGTCCACTGCCAAGGTATTAGGTTCAATGGTCTCTTTGAATAGATCTGGAGCTGAAGGGTGAAGACTGAACAATCGGCATTCAGCAAAGGGTAGACTCTTCTAGCTTTGTGTTTTCTTGCCAAGTTTGCCTAATCATTTGGCAAGAATGTTGTCAGCAATCTTAATTTTGAAGAAAAAGGTCTTTAAAGGAAATTATTCTATTCTAAATTCTATGATTTTCGTGACCTTAAGATTTAAGGACTATGCTTCCAGTCTCTCGGAGCCTTGTTCCACATGCCTGGGCTTTTTATACACGCACTTCGTTGTCCTCAGAGCTGATTTCAGGTCTTCATAGTCATAAGAAATGAGATACACAGGACTTTGCATGTGGCACATGTCCTTCAAGTCCCACAGACTAAAAGAGGTGAAGAAGTCGTTATTTCTAAAGCTTTTAATACTTGAGCAGAAAAAATAAATAGGCTGCTTTCTAAAAAAACTAAACATAAATTCACCCTTTCATTTTGACAAAGTTTCTGTGGTTCTAAGATATTTACTGAGTCACCTAGTCAACCACAAAATAACCTTTCAACTTAGTGGGAACATTATACCTGAAACCTTGTTATATCCAAAACATAATCCAAATATTAAGCATTTCTCAGTCACTTAGTACATACTGTCTTTGCTTCACAGCTGAACAGTGAAAACTTGACTGGGCCTAGTGTTGCAAGCCTGTAATCAAGGTACTTAGGAAGCAAAGACAGAAAAATCGCAAGTTCAAGGCCTGTCTGGATCACAAAATGAGTTTGAGGTCAATCTGGACAATATAGTGAGACTCTGTCTCAATACATACATACATACATACATACATACATACATACATACACACACACACATAAAAAGAAGGCAGGAGATGTAGCTGTGGGATAGACAACTTGCATAGCATGCTTAAGCCCTAGGTTCAGTCTCATGTATATACACACACAATGTGTGTGTGTGTGTGTGTGTGTGTGTGTGTGTGTGCGCGTGCGTGTGTGTCTTCTAATTGTTATTATTTCTGGGGATTTCATTTAAATTTACCTTATGATTCAGAAGATCTGTGGAAGGAGGCAGAACATTTTTATTTCTAGAAACACAACACATAACTAAATGCTACACTCAGTGAAAGTACTGCAGGCTTAAAAAAACTATTTTAATCCACAAATATTGAAAATCTTCAAGCATCAGATCCCTATTTTACAGTGATCCCTTTTTCTCTTCAGAAAATAAGCATAAAAAGGTAAATAATGCATGGTCAATTTGTTAAAGCTTCATGTTGTCACTGCAAATTCCTGCTCAGGCTTCTGGCTGGGTGCACCTCTTCTACTGTTTTCATCTTCCCTAGTCACCAAAGTTTCTTGAAGTTGGCAGGCAAGCCTGTCTACATATCTCTGTAGTGGTAGGCATGGGTGAGAAGGAATGCGGTGCTAAAACTTGTACTAGGAGTGGAAGCACCAGACACTCTCAGCCCAGCCCTGGTTCCTGGGCATTGCAAAGCTTCTTTTGTCATTATGTGCAAATAGACTTCTTGGAACATCAGTGCAATATACCCAGTGGTTCAGTAGCTCTGAGGGAGGAGACTGAAGCTGCATATTTCTAGTAAGTTCCCAGATGGTGCTGATGCTGCTGGTCCACTGAACTCCCACAGGCCTTTCTGTCAAACAGACCCCTCCCTATAGGATGAGCAGGTCACGTGACCTAGGGAACCTGCCAACCTGTCTGGACCCAAGCCCTTCTTTCTAATCTGGGTACCAAGAGCTCAGAATTCTTTGCTCAGATTATTGTGGAGGTAGAAAGCTTTTGCAATGTGATAGTAATTAAGAACTTTGCAATAAGGAAAACTCTTGATACAGGTATGGGGGAGGTGAGTAGGAGTCTCCCCATCCTGCCCCTGTGGTTGCCCAGGATGGAAGTCTTTGTTTTCCAAAGTTTTCACATTCCTGTAACCTTTGTGGTCATATGTTACCTTGCTTAATTATCACGTGTACCTTTTACTTAATTGTCACCTATGTGCTGTTTTGCCTTTTGTTGCATTTCCCCACACATAAGTATAAAAGCCCCCCAAAACTTGAATGAGGGGTCTGACTCCCTTATTCCTGGTGTCATCACATTAAACTTCCTCTCCTCACCTGACTTTGGCTGTTGTTTTCTGATTTTTCCATAACAAGATATCCTCTAATACCATGCCCTGGACTGCATGCACCTGTTCCCAGGCTTCTGCCGATGGATCTAAGGGCTGACAAAGGCCAGCTGTTTAGAGACAGTCCATGCATAGTACCTCTTGGTACAGACAGAGGCAGCGAATAATAAAAAAGAGATCAGAGGACCCTGTTTTCCTTCTTGCTGCAGCAGGCTGTGTTGGGGCTTCTTCTTTCATCTATTTGTGTAGATGCCAGGGAAATAGTCTACCCTGTTGTAATTTATGCCTCATCTTAAGGCTACAAAGTCACTGATGATTCTTGGAAAGGCTGATTTCAGGAGGGGCCATTGTTCATAAAGTGCTCTCTCTAGGGTAAATCAAGATTGTTTCCTTCGTCCACCTGCATATTCTCCCAGCTGGCCTTACAATGTAGATGACCATGCATGAGCTTTGGAATCCACTGATTTTAGCTGAAATCCCACTTTAACTTTCAGCAAGTCATTTCGTTTGTTTGATTTCAGTTTTTTATCTTTAAGTTGAGAATAAAATCAAATTACATCTCCACTCTCTTCCACCCCCACATTATCATCCAATTTAATTTTAATCTTCCTTCTGTCTTAGTTCATTTTCTACCTTTTTAGTGTGGATCAGGGACCTGTGTCTAATCCAGAAGTAACTTTCCACTGGACTCTTTGATCTTTTAGCAGTTGTGTTTTTGTTTTGATTGACAACTCATTAGTCCTCTGCACTCCCAGAAGGGAGCATGTCCCCTTTGCCCTTGGTACACCTCCTCCATCTGGCACAGAGCCTGGCACCTGAGGTTCTGAATGCTGAAAACATAGAAGAGAAAGGGGTGGATTTGGGACAACTGTAATTTGGACTTCCAATTCAAGGAAAAACTGTGGCTTGATAAGAGGCTGCCCTGGACAACTGGAAGCATGACACATGGTTTAGAAGCTTGAAAACAAAATATCCACAGTTAAAAACAAAGCATTAAATGCACAGTTGTGTTTGCCAGCTTTGCTCCCCCGAAGTCCTCATGCATGGTCGGGGCATCTTCCTTAAAAGCTTGTGGTGAGTGATTCCCTACAATGTGCAGTCCATAGCCTTCCCCTTCCTTTCAAAACGGGAATTCCTTTAAAGGTGATTTTTCTCTATGTGCCAGCTCAAATATCCTTTTGTTAAATGTTTCTGGGTCCCGTACTTGACGAAAGAAGTGATTTTCTCAAATCTGTGAACAGGGCACATTTTTGTAAATGTCAAAAAAAAAAAAAATCTGCTTGTACAACTGTTTCTAATTACTTCCCTCCCTAGACTCTCCACTGGAGGAGTTTGGCACCAGGACCCCGCCCAGAGCCACTCTACTGCCCAAGTCCTCACAGGCAATTGCGACTCCGGGAGCAGTCCAGGGGCCGCGAGCTCCTGTGTCCTAGGTCTGTCTGCCTGGACATCTGCAGGTGGCACTTCTCCCGCAGGCTCTGTGCTGAGAGCCACGCTTTACAGAAGTGCAGCTGGTCTGTCCTCCTGCCTGCATGGCCCGGGAACTCAGCATGTGTTCCCAGGGCTTCAGGAACTTCCTGCTGCTGGTGTCCTCCCTTCTCTTTGTAGGGCTATCAGCGGCTCCCCAAAGCTTCTCACCCTCCCTGAGGTAAGTTGGGTTTGTTATTCTTTAAGACAGGCCTGCCCTGCTGTGAGTGGTGGCAGAACTCATGACTGTCCTAAGCCAAGAGCAATTGCTAAGTTGGATGTGGGATAAACTGTTTGCAACTGTTTTGATTTTTTTCTCTTACACCAACTCCGAGTGTTGCTTGATCTTTGTTCTTTCACTTTTTCTTTGGAAAAATACACTTACTGAATAAAAATATTTTTTTCTTCCTCTGCAAATCTGTATCAGGAGGGGTTTTTGCGGTGAGTTAAAGGTGTATTTATGGGCACCTGTGTCACCCCATTGCCTATAAAGAAGCTTTATTCCCACAGAATCATAGTGTCTCTTACATTTTGCATTATACTCTGAAAGAGACGATGAGCTCCACAGCAATAACTCAATTTTTTAAAATGTAAAGTTTTTAAGGTCCGCTTCATGCAAATTTTAAAAGTACTATTCCCTATTCTATACATAATACATTTTAACTTTTTCTGTATATTCATCTTTTTTGTTCATGAAATAACCTCCCTCCGGCGATTAGATTTTTTTTTTTAAGAGAAAAGTCAGCCAAGTGTCATACCTCGGATTAATTTGTATTTAATTTAAATTTGAATTTAAGATTCAGTAGCAATCAAGGGCCAAGGGCCCAGGGTTTGGGATTATCACTTCTGTCTGCTAGGAAGGTTGTATTTTGTGTCATAGTAGTTGCAGGTGTGTTTGGGGGAAAACACAGCCCTTCCAGGCGATAGTTGACGCCCCCCCCCCGAGAGAAATGATGCCACAGCTTTCTTACCTATAGCCTATAGCGTGGGTGGACACAGACATTGAGGAAGAGTGGGCTGGGGATAGAAAGGGAAGAGTCTGTGTCTGAACTTTCTCACCTCTTGCAGAAGTGTGTCCGGCACTCCCTGCAGGCTTTCCCCCGCCCAGTCCGAGCGCCGGTGCCGCGCCCCGGGCCAACCTCCAGGGAGCGCCCCCTGCCATGGCCGAGGTCGGTGCGAGTGTGGCGTCTGCATCTGTCATGTGACTGAACCCGGCACCTACTTTGGGCCTCTGTGTGAGTGTCACGATTGGGTGTGTGAGGCTTACGACGGAAAAACTTGCGCAGGTAAGTTCTGGGGGTCATCATTCACCCCCAGTGGGATTTCTGCAGCGTTTAGGAAAGTAAAAAAAAATGGTGTGCACCTGCTGTCAGGCAGGCACCAAGTTGAGTTATTGCAATCCAAGGACGTCTCATTTCTACCCAATTTTGGCATCATTTATTACAATATTTCTCCCTCCTCTGGGGCTAACATTTAAATGGAAACGATTCATATACGTTTTACTGATCTCATTCCAAATTTCACTTGCTTCCATTGAAGTTCCTTATCATGAACTAGATTCTCCACAGTCTCAGAAAATGGAGTAATCTTAATGGGCTTCTTTATCCCTGTGAAAAATGTTAATCATATTTGAAGATTATAATCTTTATTTTATAGGAAACCCAGAGAGATGCTATTTCCTTCAAAACCAATTGGCAGATATGTCTTTAAGCTTGGGTTTGCCCTTTCACTCTTGGGGTGTAGGCCATGGAGAAGGGTTCACATCTAACACTGAGATGGGGAAAGCATAAATAGGCATATATTTACTCAGAAGTATTTATTATCGTATTGTCCTAGATGCTTGAATTGTTGAGCTGCAGTGAAATGTGGTGTTTTTGGAGTGAAAATACATTTGTTTCCCTTGCACATTTTAAAGAAGCAATTCAAGTTTTGATATTGGAAAGGGTCAAGAAATTTCTTGGTAGACACCCTTAAACTCTTACCAGCTTCATATGTCATTTACGCAGTGCACTGTGACCACTGCAGGAACTCTATTAACAAAAGGCCAACTGGATGTATTCCAAGCAGGGCTTGGCAAATTAGTAGGAAAACATAGCCTTAAGACTTCTAAGATGAAGATGTCCAACAGTAACATAGATCAAAAATAAACTTATAGCAAAAAAACTTTTCTTCGGCATCTGGGCTCTAGAGTGTATCATGAAAGTTCTTAATATTCAAGCTGTTTGACAGTGGAAAAAGTAGTCTTAGAAGTAACTCAGAGGGGCACAGGTGCTTCTAACTAGTTTGTGAAACCTTGTGAGGATTGTGCCCAACCCTTCTTATTTTGACTTCATCAGCCTCACAGCTAGAATTATTAGTGGTAGCCATTAGGGATGAAAGCAATGATACTTCATTCCAAATTCAATCATCATCCAATCTCTTCTTTACTGCCTCTGGAAAAGCCTCCACAATATCATGAGTTTTGAACAAAATTTCCAGGACTTTTTCTGTTGTTGATTCATTAGAAAATAAGGTGTAGGATGCAATCTTCGGCTGGTAAAATTAGCCACAATAGCTAAGTGCCATCCTATAAGCTTGCCCTGCCGAGGACCTCGGCTGACGCCATGCTGTGATGTGGCTCTGTAATGCTGTGATTTGGAGTATTTTCTCTTACCATGGGAGGGATTGGTCATTCACTCAAAACATCTTAGTCACTGCATTCCTTTCTTCCTGATACAAAAAGCAACACTGAGTCACATGGTACTGTTTGGTTTTGTGCATTTCTACAGAGAGCAAAATACTTTTTGTTCCAGGACTGAGTGAAATTCCTTTGTTCATTTGACTTTCTTACTTTGCAAATAAATATGCATTGGCTGATGTCCATGGGTCATTGGTAGATTCCCCATGCTCCAGTGGAGGACACCGTACCCATACACATATTAGTAGCACTAATTTGACTCAGTGGGTTAGAAAGGACAAACAAAAACATTTGGTGCCAGCATGGTGAGGCATGCCTTAAATTCCAGCACTCGGCACTCCAGAGGCAGAGGCAGGCAGCTATCCCTGAGAAGGAGGCCAGCCTAATTCACAGAGTTCTAGGCCAGCTGAGGCTATAGGGAAACCCTTTCTCAAAAAAATTATAAAAGAAAGGCACAAAGTTGGGAGGAAGATGTGATGGGCAATTCTGTGGAAGGTGGGAGAGAGTGAGAGAGGGGAGGATATGATGAAGATACATTGTATACACTTATGAAATTTTCAAAGAGTAAATACAAATTTTAAAAAATTTAAAAAGAGAAATTTCTTCTCAGAGTTTTCTGTGGAATCTGCTGCTGCTAATACTGTGACCCCATTTGCCTGCCCAGAAAAATTTCTTACCTTGCCTGCTTACCTTCTTGTTCTGTGCTTTGGAGTTAGCTTCTTAATCCCATTTCCAAAAAATCCCAATTTCATAACTACTGTGGAAATGGCATTTTTGTTTGTTTGTTTATAAGTACATCTGGCATTTGCCTTGATAAGTCCCTATAAGTTCTTTGTGGAAAAACAGTAACTGCCAGAAACTTCCTCCCCTACTATGAAGAAAACATTATGCCCTGGTAGCATATTTTCAGTATAGCATTTGTTAGAATATTTGCAGGATTAAAAACCCAGTGCTTGCAGTTATGTGAACTTAGTGACCTAAACACCCAGAGCCTTCCTTTCTTCATCTGAAAAATTGTAATCTTAACAGTAACTGTCTTAAGGAATTGTTATAAGGTTTGACAGGTGTAAAATACTTGGCACAGTGTCTGGCACAAAGTGAGTGCTCAGTACACACTAATGCTAGGTGTGCACAGCATGATTGTATAATGTACAAAAGGTGGGGGATGTGTAACTAGTATATGGATAGATAGATGGAAAGCCAAAAAGATAGAGAGCCTGGCCTTGTGGTTGTTGGGTATTTGAGGAAGTGAGAGCAATTTAATTTTTTCATGTAGTCATGGCCTGTTATTGATTTGGGGTCCCAAAAGCCAAGCAAGAATAGTAATTTTGGCCCAGCCTCAGAATATCTGTACTATATACACTGTGCCCTTTTAAAGTGAAGTCAATTAGGATTCTTATACAGTGAATCATAAGAGTCATCGTTATTTTAGTTTGAGCTGGTTGAAAGTGATTGTGTCCACATTACCAAAAGTCTATTTCTCTTCTTGTCTTGGAGTTTACAGCACCTGAATCTACATCACACGTCTGGAGCACACAGAACTAGTCCAAGGTGTGATGGTTTTGTTGGGGGATAAACTCAGTTTTGCAAATTGTATTTTTGAAACCAGCAGTATGTTTCTTCACATGGAAACAAACTTTCACTTGATACTTCCAAAGTATCCCTGGATAACCCACAGAGAGCTACAATTACACTTAAAATAAAACATTGGTTTCTTAAAATTTTTAGACATTTCTTTTGAAATGTGTCACTTAAAAGTGATCAGTGTTAGGAATTGTAGCGATGGCTCAGTGATTTAAAGAACTGGCTATTCTTGCAGAGGACCTGGGTTTGATGCCTATCACCTACATGGTGACAAACAACTGTCTCAAACTCCCGTTCCAGGGGAATTTGACACTCACTCTGGCTTCCACTGGCATTGCATGACACAGGTGCACTTACACACATGAAGGCAATATAGTCATACACAAAAAAATAAAAATAATAAGTAAAATATTTTTTTAAAAAGTGATTAGTGTTAGCAATTGGGAACAGCCAACTGAATTCAATTTAGGAAACACAAGCATATTTGCTGGTTCTGTGCTGTTGAAGTAGATGGAAAGATTTTAGCTGTATGATGGCTGACCAGTGAGTGTGGAGGTTGTGAGAAATACCAAGTACCAAATACCACACAGTATGGATTCTGATTCCCATGAGGATTCCATTGAAGTAGGGATTAAGTACTGTGACTAAAAATTCATTACAAAAAGAAAAAAAATTGGTATAAGTCTTCAAGGACAAGGAATTTTTCATCAAAACAAAACAAAACAAAGCACAACAACAACAACAAAACTCTGTAGGAATTCTGAGAGAGAAAGAGCTCAAGTAAAGGTTGAGGGGCAGGAAGGCATGTGAAATGTTCTACAGGTATGGAAAGACACAGAGTTGCATGATTGGAGCCATAGGCAAAGCAGAAGAAAATCTGCTGGAGATTGGAGTTTAATGTGCTATGGAATGCAGTGAATTCATTTAAAAAGTACTTTTCTTTTTATTTATTTACTTATTTTTATATGCATGTTTGCTTGCACATATGTAAGCTCACCATTTGCATGCAGTGCCTGCAGAGGCCAGAAGAGGGCATTGAATTCCCTAGAACTGGAGTTAATGATGGTTGTTAGCTGGCTTGTGGGTACTGGGAACTGAACCTGGGTCCTCTGGAAAAGCAGCCAGTGTTCTTAAAAACTGAGCCATCTCTCCAGTCCCAATTACTTAATTTTCTTTCAGAAGTCCACACAATGTATTTTGATCATACTCATCCCTAAGCCCTGCCCTTAACTCCTCCCAGATCTACCCCCACCTCTCTGCCCACCCCACTCCAATTGCATGTTTTTTGTTTGTTTGTTTCAATTTAATAATACATCAATTCCAATTTGTGCTGTCCATACTTCTGGGTATAAAGCCATCCATTGGAGGCAGGTTGTCTATTAGGAGTCATACCTTAAAGAAAAGTGACCCTCCCTCAGAAGTCATCAACTGCCCATAGCTCCTCAGTCAGGACTCCATAGCTCCTCAGTCATTAACCGCTTCCCATTCTATGCTAGAATATTGACTGGCTCAGTCATGTGCAGATTTTGTCTAGGCAACCATAGCTTCTGTGAGTTCATGAGTATGGTAGTGCTGTCATGTCCAAAAGACATTATTACGATCTAGTCTTCTGGTTCTTACTATCTTTCCATCCTTTCTGAAATGGTTCCTGAGTCATGGGGAGAGAGTATGATCTAGATGTCCCACTTGTGCTGAGCACTCCCTCCACAGTCACTTGTTCTCTGTACTTTGACCACTCGTGCAGTGAATCTTAATGCAGTGTGTTTCCTTTAAACAACAACTCGAAGTTCTTGGTTACAGGAGTGATAACTTGTGTTCTGATGCACAGGAGAAGTGACATAGTACACAGAGGCATGGCCAAGGTGCTATGCACTTTGTTGGGCCAAGGGACAGCAGTAATCTGCTGTCAATATTTCTTCAGCTAAGAGGGATTGTTTTACAAGTAACTTATTTTTATTTTTACAGGTCCTCACAGTTTAGAGAACTTAGATTTTTAAAGGGAATTTGGATGTTTAAATCATAGGA